TGATCTTTTTGCTCTTTCTATCTGGATATTATCTCAGTCTCTTTGTTAAGAATTTTGCTTGCACGTATGGTCTATCTTGGGGCTTGATCTTCTCACTGGGTACACACCCACTCCTTGAAAGGGCATGGCTCCAGTGGTCAGGACTGGTCCTAGGGTGACCACAGAGGAATCCTGACAGGTATGCCAGCTCCAAAGCATTCCTGCCACTCATTAGAGCCCTTCTGTGATCAAACTGCATTTAGGAACTCATTGCATGACACGGGAGACGTGACACAGTCATTAATACGTCAAACGTTTGACTACAAATCTCTCCATGGGTAAAATGTACCTGTTACAGCTCCTTGGTGCCTGTGTTAAGTCCTCCCTCTGCAGCGTGGTAAAGGTCCCCTATTCTCTGGCCTGGTCTCCAGCTGTCTCTCTCTCCTCTCCCCACTCAAACTCCCAGTGCTCTATCCACGGTCAAGGCTGTTCACTGTTTACGCTGTTCTTCCTCTTCCTACCTCCTCTGCCTACAGTGCCTTCCCTTCCTTATGTACTCACAAGCTTCTCCTATCCCTCAAGTTTCAGCCCAGTTCTCCTTTACTACGGCCCTTTCCCCAGCCACGCTCCAGGTGAGAGTGACTACTCCCTTTGGTTAACTGAATGCCCATACACGTTTCTGTGCCTAGAATACTTTCTAACACTTCTCGTGTCCACTTTCCATGTTTACATTGCCCACTAGATTATAAACTCCTCAGACCTGTGGCTGTATGATGGATGTTTGCATCTGGCTGAGAGTGGTTGATTAATGAACGTTTGTGGGATGGATGGGTAGATAAGGACCAGTGTGTATCTGCCGAGCTCTGGTAATGCAGAGATAAAAGCCCTTTCCCTGCCCTCAAGAAACTCACTGTAGATGACAGAAAATTAATACAAAGGAACAATGACATGTGATGAATCAGGTTGTGCTACGACATTTGAGCTCCATGGAGGGGCACCCAATCCCATAGGAGAAAGAGCTGTGTGTGCTGGGGTAACTCCTTGAGGTGCTAACACACCCTCCTGATCTGGGTCCCTTTGGGCCAGCAGAAGTCAGCCACGCAGGAACAAGAGGAAGGGCACCCTGGGCACAGGGAGTGGCGGGTCCAAAGCCGGGAAGCTGTGAGTGGCGGCAGCGAGGAAACAGGTCAGAGTCCAAGCTGGAGCAAAGGAGAAATTGCTGCAGAATGTTCCCCTTAGTTCAGGTAAAACTGGGCTCTTGTCACATGACCAGGAAAGGTTAGGCTCACAGACACATAGAAGGGTGAGGAAAATAGAATTTATTGGATGAAAAGGAAAAAGAACTCAGCAAAGCGAGAGAGAGTCCTGCTAGCAGGTTTCCCGCCTCACAGATTTGAGTCCCAGATCAGCACACAAGAACAGGAGGGGCCAGGCTCCTCCCACTGCAAGCCAAGCAAACGTCCCAAGGCCCCATGCCATCCTCCTAGTGCATGGGTGGGCATTATTGAGAAAGAGTCAGTCGGGAAAAGGCGGGCCTCATCTGGAACCAGCTGTCCAGTTTTTTGTTTTTGTTTTGTTTTGTTTTGTTTTTGAGACAGTTTCACTCTTGTTGCCTAGGTTGCAGTGCAATGGCACAATCTCGGCTCACTGCAACTTCCACCTCCCGGCTTCAAGAGATTCTCCTGCCTCAGCCTCCCAAGTAGCTGGGATCACAGGCACCGCCACCACACCCAGCTAATTTTTTGTATTTTTAGTAGAGATGGGGTTTCACCATGTTGGTCAAGTAACTTCAGATGATCCACCCACCTCGGCCTCCCAAGGTGCTGGGACAGCAGTCCAGTTTTTCGGCCTTCAGGCTGCTTTAGGCCTGGAGGCGGGGTTTCACCAGGGACCCTTGGCTGTCTCTTGTCTCTGTCAAAATGTTGAGGGGAGGCTGGGGTGTGGTGAACAAGGCAGGGAGGACCCATCACACAGGGTGGCATCCCCATAAGGAAATCTGGATTTTGTCCTGGGGAAACACGGACTAGTTTTAAGAGGGAACAAGATAGGTTCTGTGTTTTTAAAGATAGCACCAGCAGCAGTGTGGACTAGGCAGTGAGGCCAGGGGGGAGGGGAGAAGCTACAAGAGCGAATGAAGAACTAATGAGGGCTGGACCAGCTGGGGCAGTCAGGTGTTCAGACCAGTCAGACCTGGGTGGCACTCGGGGGCAAACTTGGTAGAGTTTGGCCACTCTGTGTAGGTGGAAGCAGAGGGCAGCCCACATGCCTGCCAGGTTTCCACCCTGGCCAACAAGGTAGATGAAGGTGCGTGTAGGCTCCATGAGCAGCATGGAGGAAACAGCGTGGCTTCGGGGGAAATTCACTTTTGGTTCCCTGGAGGCTGAGAGGCCTAAGGAATCCCTAAGTGGATATTTTCAGTAGATGAGATACCCATCCCTGAGGCTTAGGAGAGAGTTCCAGGTAAGGGAAAAAATGAGATACCCGTCAGTAAAAAGGTGACCGCTGGAGCCACGCATGGAGCTATGCCCTTTCAAGGAGTGAGTGTGTACACAGTGAGAAGATCAAGCCCCAAGATAGACCATACGTGTAAGCAGAATTATTAACAAAGAGACTGAGATAATATCCGGATAGAAAGAGCAAAAAGACCATGCTACAATGGGCATTGGGAAATGGAGACTTCCAGAGGCCTGCAGTGATCTACAAGGTCAAACCCTGCACAGGGGGCCAGGAAAGAAAAAACCTGAAGAATGTTCATCTGTGGCCACATTTTTTGAGCCCTCGTCAGCCTGTGAATACAAATGAGATCACATTAACAGTAACCGCCCATATTTCTCTAGCTTGTTGCCAGCCATCTGCTCAGCAGGACTGAGTCTCCCTAAAAAATGCCCTTACTTCCCACCCTAAAAGGAGTATTTTCTGGGAGCACCTGGGGGTGTCTCACACAAGCCAAAGAAGAGTCCACATGTGCTATTCCACACATACACCCTCTTTCTATCCTCAGCGCTTGAGGCATCTGCAGCCCCCATGGCTGCTTCCCATTGAGAGGCCCTGAGGTCCATGTTGGGTTTCAGTAACTGCTGTGCAATGCAGCAGACATTTCTATGCTTGCCATTTGCCACTGAGTTGAAGCCATAGCATTTTCAGAGAAATGGAGAGGACACTCCCTCTTTGCCATCTCTTTGTCTCCCATGTCCTACATGGTGCCTCACAAAAAAAGGCCTTCTTTAGCTCGTCCCTTCTGGCTGTCTGTCCTAAGGCTTCAGACACCAGGCAGTCCCTGGGACTGAGAGAGAGGCAGACAATAGTCTCCCTGGATCCCAGCCTCTGCCCCAGATTTGGAGCAGGTGACTAATTTGCAAAAGGTCAGGATGCCTAGCTAAATGAAGATTGGGCAACATGATTGGTGTCAGCCAAAGAGTTTCAGCAGAATGGTTGACAAGGTCAGATCGCTATGAAATGAGAGAATGGGAGGTGAGAAAAGTACAGACAGTAAATTTCATGAAAGGGCACAGGCAGGAAAGCAGGAAATAGAAAGTGGTGGCGGTGGTGGTGGCTTTTAACTTGAACACAGTGGCAGGCTGAGGAAGAGGCAGCAGGAAGGGAGGAGCCAGCAACAGACCCAGAGAAGAGAAAGGCTCAGAGGGAGAAGCAGGTACAAGTCGTGCTGATAAACCTCAGGCTGAGGAAAACAAGGCAGCAGCCCTGAGAGCCCTGAAAGAGACACTAGACCCCTGGCCGGGGCCTCTGGGAAGAGCCTGGACACAGGGTTCTGAGGGAAAAGAAGGAAAAAGAAAGGAGGCTCAGTCTGGGTGGTGGAGCCTACTCTAGAGGAAAGTGGGAAGTCCGGAGCCCTGAGCCTCCGAGTGGCCTTCCAACCCTGCCACAGCCTTTCTATGGACCGAGCTGTCACTTAGCTCCCTCTTGGTGACTCAGAATCTGACTTTCTCATATTGCCATTTTAATTTTAGTAATGATGAGAGTCACTTCCACTCACAAACAGTAAAAACAGAGGGTCAACCACAAAAAAAAAATTCTCATTTCATCTATAGTTTCTTATCAGGGGGGATTGTGCTGGAATTTGCCTCCATACTAAACCGATGTTCAAAGGTCACCAGCTCAAATGGTTATGAGGTGAAGCTGTGTCTCAAAGGCATGGGCCTGTTCATTGGGACCTGTGGCAAACCAAAGCCACGACTTGCCCTATCCAGGGGGGACAACAGCTGTCAGCCCCAGCAGCTGCCACTAAAGGGTGCAAGCTCTGTACTGCCCAGCTTGACTTTTCAGAGGTAAGTTGCAAGTCCAGTTGTCTGGTGAGACCTCTAGATTTCTAAATACTGAGAATTAATTCCATTAAAAAGATCACAGCAACAAACACCCACCATACAGTCCTGGCAAAACACCCTGAGGGCAACCTTCATAAGGAGTGCAAAGTCACAGTGTCAATTTCACTTCCTCCAAAGAGATTTCAAAGTGTTCTGTTCCTTAAGTGATTCTGTTTACATTTTAAAATACAACTGTATCTCCTAAAAGGAAAACAAGAATTTGCTTTAAGAGCTCACTGCCTCCTCAGCCCCTGTGTGAGTACGCACTTTATGCTTCCCCAAAGGTGACTTAACTCTGATCATTGCCAATGGGCAGGCACTCCCAATCTTTTTCTTTCTTTCTTTCTTTTTTTTTTTTTTTTTTTTGAGACAGAATCTCACTCTGTCACCCAGGCTGGAGTGCAGTGGTGTGATCTTGGCTCATGCAACCTGCGCCTCCCAGGTTCAAGCAATTCTCCTGCCTCAGCCTCCCGAGTAGCTGGGATCACAGGCTTGTGCCACCATGACCGGCTAATTTTTTTGTATTTTTAGTAGAGACGGGGTTTCACCATATTGGCCAGGCTGGTCTCGAACTTCTGACCTTGTGATTCGCCCACCTCGGCCTCCCAAAGTGCTGGGATTACAGGCGTGAGCCACCGCGCCGGGCCCCCAGAGTGTCTTTCATAGCTACCAATGATTAAATAGCAAGTACTGTATTGCATTCCTAGGCATCGCCAACTAGTGAAGTATACCAGACGGAAATGTCTTTGAAGCTGTCCCTTTAAAACTCGAGCAAGCTACCAGGCAAACTCCGCCTCCAGGGAGGTTCCTTATTTAATAAGAGCCAGCTGGCTGGGTCAGGGCTCAATACCCTGAGCGATACCTGCTACTGAGCGTTTTTCTCGGGAGACCGCAGCCCGTCGACATGGCTCAAGAGTTTGTCAACTGCAAAATCCAGCCTGGGAAGGTGGTTGTGTTCATCAAGCCCACCTGCCCATACTGCAGGAAGGCCCAAGAGATCCTCAGTCAATTGCCCATCAAACAAGGGCTTCTGGAATTTGTCGATATCACAGCCACCAACCACACTAACGAGATTCAGGATTATCTGCTGCAGCTCACGGGAGCGAGAACGGTGAGTTTCATTTTAAATGGCTAGGGAAAGGCTCCCGGATTGCCTTGTCAGAGTGGTGCCTTTCTTTAGGATAAGGCTGGGGCCCCGTCCTTCCAGGCATCCAGAGGGCTATGCGGGAGCGGGAGGAGGGATGAGGGAGGAGGGAGGGGGAGGGCGCCTCAGAGGGGATCTCAGTCCCTTGAATGAGCGGCGGCACTGCAGCCAAAGGTCCTTTCAGAGCAGAAGACGGAGTACAGCTGATGTCTGCTGTGCGGCGGGGTAAGTGGGCTCAGCAGCTTGCCGGGGAGTCCCTGGGGAATTACCTAGCGTCTTTGTTTTAAGCACTGCTAGGAAATGACAGTTTTCAGCGGACAGGGCTGTAAGTGGAAGCTGGGGTGATGTTTGTTAATTTAACGAGAGAATCGTGTTTCTGTTAAATTAACACATCACACCTGGGGAGGGCCGGGTGCGATGTTAATTTAACAAGAGAATCATGTTCTTCATTCTTTTCTCTAGGCTTTCTTTTTCTAATTTGCTAATTCTTCCTTATCTAATTCCTCCCACGAGAAAAAATCCAATACACCATTATCTGCCCCTTGTTCTAAATTAATTAGGGATGTGTCCAGGCCCCACCTTGGCTGGAGTTCTGGCCTGGTTCTTACAATGGCTGGCTGTGTGATCCTGGGCAAGTCAGCACCCCGGTATTCCTCAAAGATCCCAGCTGCAAGACCAGATTAGGTGACCTCAAAGTCCCATTTGCTACGAATACACTGTGGGACTCTCTAAAAATTGTTCTCCTCCATCTGAAAAGACTTCCCTGTCCTCAGCATCCTGGGCTCCAGGTGGGATACCTACCACATCACCTGTATCAGTTCTGCTGCGAGGTGGGTGAGAAGTGTCCCACCAGCTCAGCTAAGTTCCCTTTTAGGATACACATTCTACAGCATAGTGTTGGCCTGAGCACACACCCTATTTTAGTTTTAGTTTGACTTACAAGCTTGTCTCTGGGTTCTGAGTATAAAGCACGAGAGGTTGTTTCTCCCCTTCTCTCTAATAAGAAGTCAGCATTTTGGTGCAGAGTGGGGCTTAGTGTGTTACTCTATTGCTGTGTGCTGAGGTCCTAGAGCAGACACAATGACGAGAGAGGCTCTTGCTGCCTAGTGGGACGGCTAGCTGCATAGGATGCCGAGGCCCTGAGAGATGTAAAGGGCAGTGCAAACACTACTGTGGGTCCTACTGTGGCTGCCACCCTGAGGACCTTTTAGCCAAACTTTGCTGCACGTCACGATCACCCAGAGTGCTTTCAAAACAATCCTTATGCCCAAATTATGCCCCTCAATAACTAAATCACAATATCAGAGGTGGAAGCCAAGCATTCTTTTTTTTTTTTTTTTTTTTTTTGAGACAGAGTTTCACTCTTGTCACCCAGGCTGGAGGGCAATGGTGCAATCCTGGCTCCATGCAACCTCTGCTTCCTAGGTTCAAGTAATTTTCCTGCCTCAGCTTCCCGAGTAGCTGGGATTACAGGCACATACCACCACGCCCAGCTAATTTTTAGTAGACATTTTTTGAGATGGAGTTTCGCTCTTGTTTTCCAGGCTGGAGTGCAGTGGTGTAATCTCTGCTCACTGCGGCCTCCACCTCCCAGGTTCAAGCGATCAAGTAGTAGTTGGGATTACAGGCTCCTGCCACCATGCCCAGCTAATTTTTGTATTTTTATTAGAGATGGCGTTTCACTGTGTTGGCCAAGCTGGTCTCGAACTCCTGACTTCAGGTGATCCACCCACCTCCCATCTCAGCCTCGCAAACTGCAGGCGTGAGGCACCGCGACTCACCAACAATTGCTTTTTCATTTCTTTATGAAGCAACAGTATTTCTTCTAGTGACCTAAATTTATGTTTTTAAGAGACAGAGTCTTGCTCTGCCACCCAGGCTCGAGTGCAGTGCAACAATAGCTGACTGCAGCCTCAAACTCCTGGGCTCAAGTGACCCTCAGCCTCCTGTGGCTGGGACAACAGGCACGAGCCATCATAACCAGCAAATTTTTAAAGATTTTATACAGATGGGGGTCTTATTATGTTGTCCAGGCTGATCTTGAACCCCTGGCCTCAAGCTATCCTCCCACCTCAGCCTTCCAAACTGCTGGGATTACAGATGTGATCCACCTCAACAAGCCTGTTTTTAATTTTTTTAAAAATATTTTTCACAGATTCTTAAATCCCGAATGCATTCTTCCTAGGGGAAGAACAAATCTTTTAAAGTTGTATGTTTGATCCCCAACAGTGAAGGGTTTGTATTCAAAGCATCTGAAAGCTCCATAAAGTAGCTGTATCTAGTAGGTAATCAGCAGGAGATGATTATGGAAAGTTAATGCCTTCAAGCCATGCACTTAGTGAAGCCTGTTTTTGTTTTGCTGTAGTCACAGCTCCTAAATTAGTGCCTTTATTTCCTTCTCCTCTAATGCACTTTTCTTTATATAGATCTGAGTTTCTGACCTCTATCATTTCCCTTCTCTCTGAAGAACTTTGCGCATTTCTTGCAAGGTGATTCCACCTCCCAACATACTGTATTATTATTATTATTATTCAGCTGAGCAAATAATTCGCACTATCTTAGAAATACTTTGTTAGATAAGCAAAACTTGAGTATCTTAGAAAGTATTTCTCCTTCACATTTGAATGATGATTTTGCTGATGCAACAAATATTTTTAAGCATCTACTATGTATCAGGCACTTTTCTGGACAGTGGGGAAAAAAGTCTACCTTTTCTCCCATGAAAAAAAGCCTTCTGCCTTTGTTGAACCTATATTCTAGTGGCGGAGACAGATACGATAATAATACAGATTATTTGTGCAGCTGAATAATAATAATACAGTATGTTGGGAGGTGGGAATGGCATGTGCTGTGAGGAAAAGTAGGAAAGTTAGGGAGGAGGCAGCAGGACCCAGTTTTAGATGGAGCCTTTGGGTCTCACTGAGAAGCGAAGATTCAAGCAAATATCTACAGGAGCTGAGGGAGATGGCATACATGATTCACAAGTAGAGTGAATGCAAAGGTCTTTTTGGAATAGTAAGGAGGCCGGTATGCATCGGAATGGCTGAGCACCGTGAGCCGGTAGGAGAGTTAGTGGAGGTGAGATCTGAGCACTAACGGGAGCTTGGAAGAACCGTGACTGGTACTCGGTGTGAGATGAGTTGCCCCTGGTGGGTGCTCAGCAGAGGAGTCACTTGATCTGACTCTGCTTTGAAAGGGTCACCTGGCAGCTGTGGGGAGAAGAGACAGTAGGGCAAGGGTGAAGGTTGAAGCTAGGAGACGTTGGGAGGCTATAGCAGCTATTCAGGTGACAAATGAAGTTGGCTTGTGCCAGGGAGTGTTGAGAAATCGCTTTGAGTAGTTGCATTTGAGTAACTCTAACGTGCAGGAGATGCCACCTGGCTGAGGCTGGGGAAACCTACTCCAGGAGAGTAAGAGCCACAGGATTACCAAACTCGTTTTGGGGGTGGCAGTTCTTTCCTCTCCTTGCTATTAGTGGACTCTCGAGTTCCTCTAAGCAGGCTGGGACGGGAAGGGACAGGAGGGGATGCAGCACAGGGTATTTCCTCTTCTTTGCTCAGCTGATTCAACAGTGCCCCTTATATGCTTCTGTTTCACTGCCACAGCCTCCCACACCGTCCTGTACAGCCTGCAGTTCAGCTCCCTTTAGGGTGCCATTCACTGATATGATTTAAGGCAGTTTTGCAGTTGTCCAGACTAAAGGATGGGTGTGAGGGTAAAGGAGCCTTTCGCTTCTTTGCCAGACACTGAGCACAAAACTCCATTCTGGGGGCAGCCTGGTCATATTTCAGGGGTGTCTCAGGAGGCTGGCCGGGGGCAGCTCCAGGGCTGTGGGTTTTCAAAGCCTTGGTTATCCTGTCAGAGTACAGGAAATAGCCACGGAAATGTGCAAGATTTATTTTTAATTTTTAGACTTTACTTTTAAAGCCTACCTCCGCCCAGACCCCCTTTGTAATAAAAGTACTATAAGAACGTATCCACAGTAATTAAGCTCCTTTTCTCATCTGTCTCACTCTTTGGACAATTTGCTCAAATTATTATGCTCTCTGAGAAGAGCCCAAAGCTTTAAAAAAATAGGCACTGATTTCTGCTTCCGCCTCTCCCTTCCCTTCGGTGTGTTCCTGGCACTTAGGGGGAGGCCCGCTGGCTCTGATGACGTGGTGACCTCCATGGTGCTTGTCTCGTCACTGCCAGGCAGCCTTAGTGGAACACCCTTGGCCTGGAAATTCAGCCATGTTGAGGGGATTTCCTCCTCCCTCGAGTCTAATAGCCCTCTGGAATTCTGGAATGTGTCTGCTCCTAGCAGCAGGGAGGAAGCTTGTACTAAAGAGGAGCCTATTGAGCAAGTGTCATGATTATGGCTTGGCGTGGGTGACTCACCCACATCCAGGGTGACTTAACCATCTTATGATGAACCAGTGATAAAAGGAGACTCAAATACCACTACGCCCACCTGGTTGAGGACAGGGCTCACCTGTGTTTTGTTTGTTTTGCTCTGTCACCCAGGTGTGAGTACAATGGCACCATCACAGCTTACCGCAGCCTCGACCTCCTGAGTCAAAGCAATCCTTCCATTTCAGCTTTCTGAGTAGCTGAGACTACAGGCATGCACTGCCATGCCTGGCTAATTTTTGCATTTCTTTGTAGAGACAGGGTCTCACTATGTTGCCTAGGCTGGTCTTGAAGTCCTGGGCTCAAGTGACCCTCTCAACCTCAGCCTCCCAAAGTGTTAGGATTACAGTGGTGAGCCACGGTGCCTGGCCCTCACCTGTGTTTTAACAACACAGAGAGATAATTGTATTTAATAAACCATGGACCTGAAATCAGAGACCTAATGCAATTACTTTTCCAGCTGTATTTAGAAATGAACTTCCTCCTTCCTGATTGCTGTGGCCTAGTTTACAATCTTAGGTGTGGTCTCTGATGCAGAGAAAGCAGAGGTCAATCTGGGTGGTCTGATTTCAGCCAATCAAAATTCTCCCTCTGAAACATGTTTCTAGAGAGTGAAATTTTTAGATCCCTTTGACAAGTTGGACAAGCTCATGCACAGCATACTCAACTTGAAAACTCTTCTGTCTTAAAAGCATTCTTGAGTTAATAATGTTACCTCTTATAACATTATTAATGTTATAATTAATAATTATAATTATTAAGGAAGCCCTGCCCTGTAAGCATATACAATGAGCAGGTTGTAAAGTGATTTGAAAAGTTTCGAATTACAGGAAACATTTAGTGAAGGATAGAAATGTTCTTTCTAATCTTCTAGTAATGTCCTGGGTCATGTGCTTTTTTAGGTGCCTCGGGTCTTTATCGGTAAGGACTGCATAGGCGGATGCAATGATCTAGTCAGTATGCAGCAAAGCGGGGAGCTGCTGACGCGGCTAAAGCAGATTGGAGCTCTGCAGTAACCACAGGTGAGTGGCAGGTGAGCTGCTGAGCCGGGAACATGGGAGATGGGAGACCGTGGAATTCTTCTGCCAAGGTTTGTTATACTGTAGGACAGCATTCTAGCTAGAGAAAGAATGATTTGGGGTGGGTTGAGGAACTGCGATGTCAATTGCTTATGAATTTCACACTTTACAAAGAGATTGTGTCAATGGAAGAAATCCTTTCACTCAGCCTTCATTTAGCAAATATTTATTGAGCATGTGCCAGACGCATGGGAATATAACGATGCATAAAATGATAACCTGGAACTTATATTCTAGAGAGGCAGACAGATCAGAAACAAGTAAATCCTGAAACAGAATAGAATAGAAGATGTCAGGGGGTAGAGAGAAAATTGAGCTAACGTGACAAGGAAGGGCCTTTCTCAGGAAGGGTTGAGCTGAGACCTAGTTGACAAGGAGACTGCTATGTAGAGATGAAGCAGAAGAGCTTTTCAGGTGGAGGAAATAGCAAGTGCAAAGGCTCCGAGGTGGCAACAGGTAAGGAATGTTTGTGGAACAGAAAGAAAGCAGGAATAGAGTGAGCGAAGTGTGGTGAGAAGGAAGAATAGTGGGAAATGTGGGCAGGTGCCAGAGCACCCAGGCCATGGTAAGCAATTTGGATTTATTTTAAATGCAATGTGAAACTGATGTCATTTTGGCTTTACCTGTGTTCACTTGACAGATCAACTCTGTTTAATTGGCTTCCCAAAAGCCAAAACAAAAGTTTTCTAAAATCAGTAACCTAAAGATCTTTGGCTCAGTAGAAAACCACAGGGTAATGAACATTTTAGAACGTAATCATGATGGTTTTGGAATCTGAGCTCCTCCCTCCCCTAGATCCCTAGCACAGCTAGCGCTAGCTAGCCCCCAAGCAGGCCGATTCAGAGACCTGTATACAGAGAGATGCAAGTGCTGCTTTAGTTGAGGGAGAAATGAATGATTCTTTAACCAAATGTTCTTGGAGTGATATCTGTTGCCTGCTAATCAATAACTCATCTCTTGGTCAATGAGTATATGTAATTTGTGATGGTTACTCTGCATAGTAACAGAAGGAGGCAAAAGGTCTGAAAAAATACAACTGAGTTCCCTGAAATGAAATAGTCAATGCTATAAATCTTCTCATAATTCTACAACATCATCACAGCAGGTGAACCTTATGTCTGTCTGAATTCACTTCCTGGCCTTACCACCAGTACTAAGAGCCCTCAAAACCAATTAATGGTGTTACCAGAGGTTTCCTATTCTGGGACATGTTTAGCAATTTAGGGTTAGATTAAGAATGGAAGAAGATGGGAAATGTCATTTCTCCAACTGCTTCTATTTTGGTGTGGGCATTATTAGAGTTCCCCATATTCAGAAAGTCTCCTTACTTGCATTTGGTCTTTTCCTTCAGTATTCTATGCTGTCAGTATTTTACTGACAGCTGCATCTCAAGGCCATCTGCATCAGTGTGTGTTTAAATGGCAGGAGTAAGTGTTCTGGTAATGAGAGAAAGGAAGGATTTTGCCTTACAAGGAGATATCCCATTCTTTCTTTCCTGGCAGAGCAGTTCCCATGCTGGTGTCCCTCCTCAAGATCTGGATAGCATTGCAAATGATGACAGCGTTTCCTGGTGGATGAATTTGGGAGCACAAACAGCTTTTTTCTTCTTTTGGCTCAGTATTTAAAAGTGGATCAACTTGCTCCTAACCACAGTGCCAAGAAGATTGGCAGGCCACCTTCGTTTTCTTCTAGATGTGCTCTTTGGTTTTCAGAAGACTGTGACAAGTTCTGGGCTAGGATTCGTTCACTGACCCTCAATTGTTCTTTCTCTTGGGCATGAATTTCTTCTTCTTTCTTTCTTTCTTTTATTGAGATGGAGTCTTGCTCTGTCACCCAGGCTGTAGTGCAGTGGCACAATCTCTGTTCACAGCATCCTCCGCCGCCGGGATTTAAGCGATTCCCCTACCTCAGCCTCCTGAGTAGCTGGGACTACAGGTGCGTGCCGCCACACCCGGTTACTTTTTTTATGTTTTAGTAGAGATGGGGTTTCACCATGTTGGCCAGGATGGTCTTGATTTCCTGACCTCGCGATCCACCCGCCTCAGCCTCCCAAAATGATGGGATTACAGGCGTGAGCCACCGCGCCCAGCCTGGTACCTATTTCTTACTGTTCTCCATGTGTCAGCATGCCTCTACCTCTAAGCCAGTGTTTTTCAACTATGTTTATCCAGACTTCTTCTCCACAATGAGGAATCCATAGTTGGTTTTCTGCTACTGCCCATTAGCTGAAATCATTTCGTTGCTTGGCTTTCTGGAGTTTGTGTTATGAAATCAGTGAGTATTTTGAATGTGTTCATTCAAACTACATGCGACTCTCCACTCAACCCCACCCCATCCCATCCTACCTTGAGAGTCACTGCTCTGAACCAGTGTTCTCCAGCTTGTGCTCTCACAGATCTCATAGGAAATGATCCTAGGACCCAACTGGAGAAATCACATGAAAAGTTAAGCATAGTTGGTCTTGGTGTCACATGGATCACAGGCACAAGCGCAGAAGCTGTGAGCATGTGGAACACGCTGTTATTTAAGCTGGCCATCCAGACAATCCTGAACACTGTGTATCTATTTGATTTAGAGTACCAGCAAAAATTAAAGCAAAAATGTAAAACATTTGAGAAAATTGACAGCTCCCTACCCCAAGAGTACATCTGTGAAAGAGCCCCACACACTTTGAAAACTGAAGACTCCCTTATCATGAAGTTTGGCTGTTCTAGAATTGTAAGATTGTTAATTCCTTTCTTCAATCCCTAGTGAGAACATTTAATTTCTTTTCTAATAAAAAAATGCCTATAGATGACTCAGTGATTTTTGTCCAATTTGTTTCCATGTTCTTCTCAAGACATTAAGGAATATTACGTGAAATACACTGACTTAAAACTGTCTGTTTAATCCTGCCACTATAAATAAAGACATGTGCTACTGTCATTCACTGAGTACAAACGGTTCATATAATTTTGAAATTTCATATTGAAATGCTAGGTCCAGCTTACTGAATGATGCTTAGGGTTTAATAATTGTCTATGTAGCCATCAAAAACGATGAGTTCATGTCCTTTGTAGGGACATGGATGAATCTGGAAACCATCATTCTCAGCAAACTGACACAAGAACAGAAAATCAAACACTGCATGTTCTCACTTATAGGCGGGTGTTGAACAATGAAAACACACGGACACGGGGAGGGAAGCATCACACACTGGGGTCTGTTGGGGGAATTAGGGGAGGGACAGCTGCGGGTAGGGAGTTGGGGAGCGATAATATGGGGAGAAATGCCAGATATAGGTGATGGGGATAGAGGCAGCAAACCACATTGCCGTGTATGTACCTATACAACAATCCTGCATGATGTGCACATGTACCCCAGAACCTAAAGTGCAATAAAATATATTTTAAAAATAATTTTTTTCATTTCATATTCCTTTTTTCCATTTCCCACTTAAGGCACTTGTACTTCTTGTTTCTTTCTTTTGTGGGTCCTAACCACGCCCTTCAACCAGGATAGCTATGGATGATTGTTCGTGTTACACACTGCACAATATGAATGCCACCCCTGGAGATTACACACAGTGCCTGATCCATGCTGGACCACTTGCCTGCCCTTTCGCACTTCTTTGTGTTCATTTTGTTTCTTTCTCCTGAGATGGCTTTTCTTCTTTGTTTTACTTTGAAATTCCTCCTTGTTCAAGGCCTGATTTATAGACTCTTTCCCCTATATTTTCTCTTTCCTCTCATGGCCTTTTGACTAAAAATCATTGTTCCCTCTTCTGGAATCCAAGAACACTGTGCACGTAGATAGTCTTCAGCTCTTATAGGCTATGTTGTAGTTAATCATCCGTATTGGTCTCTTGCTAAATTCAGAATTACCCAAAGGCAAGAATCTAGACTTAACTACGGAAACCAAGTTCCCAGCACAGAAGAGCCATTTTATCAAAGCAATGTATGCATATGGTTTAAAACGCCAAAGTCTTTCCTGTTCTACCTGCCTCAAAGCCAGATCCTGCTAAAGGCCCTGATAAAGTACCTTACAGGGTCATGTGCCCGTCCCAAGAGTATCCCCTCTCTCCATCCCTCCATAGAGGGAACTTCTAGTTCATTTTTGTTGTAGTCATTCTGATACTTTATAGTTTTACTCCTTATAATATCTCTAAGCAATACACTTTTGAAAAACAATAACACCAACCCAGCTGTGTAAAAAAAGGGTGCCATCACAGTTAGACAAACAATCCCAAGAAGGGATAAACTGAACACTGACTCTGAGTTATAGACTGGCTTCAGCGTCCCTTGTAAGTTTTCCAGAGCCCCTTCTGGGGAAGCAGAAGTGCTGCTGAGTGAGTCCTTGGAAACACAGAGCAACCCACGATCAGGGAGGCTACTGTGTGAACCAAGCACAGGGTGTCCCCCGGAAAGATGGTCAATGGCAGAGGGCTGCTCTGCATTTTCTGCTTCTAAGCTCAGCATGGCTCCACCCCCAGCTTTCAGGAGGCCGTCAAAGCACACCCACACCACCTCAGCTGGCCAGCTGTGTAGCAAACAACAGAAATGTCATCAGCACCAGGCATGCCAAGTACAGGTAAGGATCTGCTTCAGGCCCATTTCAGCTTTCTGTCCTCAAGTTGAAACAAAACTATACAACAACAGAGAGACCTCAACACGGAAAATTACACTGCTCCCATCTGGTCTGGTGCCCTCTGTCCCTAAAGCAGGCAGAGTTCTCTATCTGGGATCTCCCTTCACTGTCATTCTGGGGATTCCCTTTGTCTCTCCTATGTTGGATCTCCCCTTCCCTGTGACCCACATGTATGAGTTAGAATACATGCTAGGCTGCTATAACAAACATGTCATGCTTAATAGAGGCATCTTTATCAAAAAAGTCCAGAGGCAGGCAGGTGGCATTTGCTCCCACTGACCCCGTGGTCATATGTACCACTTTTGCTGGCATCCCGTTGGCCAGAACTTAGTGTCATAGCCCCACCAGCTGCAGGACAGGCTAGGCAGAGGAGACCCTGCCTAGGAAGCCTCTTGCCCAACTAAAACTCACCAAAACTCTATAGAAGTTTTATAGTCTATAGGAGATCTATACCAAAAGAAGGGGAGAATGACTATGGAAAGAAAATTAGCAAACGGAGTCTTTCTCTTTTTTATTCTTTTTCCTCTGAACCCCAATGTTCTTTCTCTGTTTTACATTTGAAAACCTTCCCAAATGTCTGGAGATCTGACTATCTGTAAATATTTAAAGAATGAGGCACTAGAAAACTGATTGGAAGACTTGTGTGCATAGATTAGGCCTGCCAACTGATAGCGTCACCATAGACAGAGTCTTTGTTCAAATGTCACCTTCTCAGCAAGGGCGTCCCCATTCCCCGACCTAAAATTTACACCCTCCCTTCCACTCTCACTTAGCATTCCCTATCCCTCTTTTTTGATTTATTTTTCTCTATAGCATTTATCTTTTTTTTTTTTTTTTAGATGGAGGTCGTAATCTGTCATCCAGGTTGGAGTGCAGTGGTGCAATCTCAGCTTACTGCAACTTCTGCCTCCTGGGTTCAAGCGATCCTCCCACCTCAGCCTCCAGAGTAGCTGGGACCCAGATGCACGCTCCACGGAGGCTCACCTAATTTTTTGTACTTTTGGTAGAGACCGGGTTTCATGTTGTTGCCCAGGCTGGTCTCAACTAAGCTCAAGTGATCTGCCTGCCTTGGCTTCCCAAAGTGCTGGAATTACAGGTGTGAGCTACCACACCCAGTCTATCTTTTAATATACTGTATAGTTTAGTTTACAGTCTCTTTACTACTAGAATATAACTGCCTTGAGGTCAGGGATTGGTGTCTATTTTATTTACTGCTGCTTGGCAGATAGTAAGCACTTGATAAATACCTGTTGAGTGAACAAATTAAAAATGAACAGGTGTGGATCTGGCTGTCTCACTGGGAGATCCCCAAATAGTTGGTTCCTACACACCTTTTCTTCCGAGCCTTTAGTCTCTTCAGCTTCACAGCTGGAGGACTGGGCCTCATCGTCAGAGTTCTGGCTGCCAAGCAGGGAAAAGGGACGTGGCAGCTCCCTGGCTGGTGTGCAGACTTTCATGTAACCTCCTGTTTTCTGCCCTGCCCCTTGCTGAGTAATTCTGTGTGACATGCAAGGACAGGAAGAACGATCTTTCAAACAGCATGGAGAGATTGTCATTAGGGGCTGGCAGAAAAAAAGATAAAAATAAAAATAACCAACCAAAAAATTTACAGCCAAAGCTCTACTCTTTCTGTTTACTGAAGAAAGCAAGTGATCCAATCTCCTGTGAATGTTGCTGATTTTAATAACAACCTTCTCTGCTTCCTCCAGCCTGGCTCCTTGGGCAGGACTCCTCACAGCCATTTCTCCCCATTCAAGTCTGTCCAAAGATGCCCCTTAAGGAAGAAGAGCTGCCAGCAGTGGTAAATGGATCTGTGTGGCCCAGACCACATATTTAGATCCCCAGTGAGTATTATTAGGTCGTTATCTTGACATTCAGTTGCCAGAGAAAGCCATGCTCCCTAATTTACTACAACATAATTATTCAGAGGTCCTGAGAAATATTGTAATGAACTGGGCTCCTGAAATATTTTACTTCGAATTTCTTTCTTGTATTATAGCAGTCTTCTTATCAAATACACTGAACGTTTGAAGGGGCAGAATTTAATCTTGCTTATTAGGGGAAGAGAGCTCTGGCCTGGTCCCTTTAAACGCAAGTGATACTTAACCATGGGTCTGTATTTATGCACAAGTTTATACTTCCTGTCCCCGGGCGACTTTTCTGGGGAGCAGTGCAGAGCTGAAGGTAGGAGAGAGAGGGGGAAGGAGGCGAGCCAATGACGGTACAGAACATCCAGCAACCCGCGGCTCTGGGGTTTCTTACTGGCTCTTCCTGCGCACTCAACTCCTCCCTCCCAGTTGGCTGGGCTCAAGCCTCTGGGGACCTGCAGCTGAGCTTTCTCAGAAGCAAGCAAAGCTATCTCCTTCCTATTCTTGTGTGCCTTGTGAAACTTAAAACACTTCATATATTGGCCGGGCGCGGTGGCTCAAGCCTGTAATCCCAGCACTTTGGGAGGCCGAGGCGGGTGGATCACAAGGTCAAGAGATCGAGACCATCCTGGTCAACATGGTGAAACC